TTTGAATCACTAGCTGGGCTCATGAATGAGGAGGAGGATATTTTGGGCCTAAACGAACATAGTAAAAAGAGGTCTAATGAGGAGTCCAATAAGGTAGAAAATATACCAGTGGGGGAGGAGTCTACCAATGTGGTGCAGGCCCAAAATATCAATTTGAAGAAGGCTCAAATCACTTTAGATAATGGAGATATAGGCAGCCAATGGGAAGCAGGGTCGGTGAACACCAATAATGGAGGCCACGAACCATCTGGAAAGGGGTTTGATAGGGAAGAGGACAGACAAGCAGATGGGACAGAAGGAAATAACGAAGGGATTTCAAAAAAGAGCAAGAGGAGAATCAGATCATGCAGCTCGGTTTACTCGAAAGAGGGATTCCCACAACAAGTTCGGCAAGAAGAAAGAGGCCGAAGAGGAAGAAGGCGAGGATTTGGGGAGAATAGAGCACAGCCGGGTTTTGTGGCAAGCCCAACAGGAGAAGTTGCTGGGGAGTCCATTGGAGACAGCTTTATTCAAAACTGCAACAGATCAATCAAGAAGCAGTTGAAGAAAGAGTTGGCTAAAGAGATATGGGAAATAGCGAAGCAGCTGGGAGCTGTGGCCAAAAATGAAGAAGAAATAATTCAAAGGATTGACGAACTGGAGTGCAGAGACAATCGGGCAAAAGCTAATCGTGATAAGCATGCAACCGAGCCGAGGGTGGAGGTATGTGCAATTAAGAATGATTTTGTTGTCATTTAATGTAAGAGGACTGGGGGGGCCGAAAAGAGAAGACAAATTAGAGAGTTGGTTACAAAAGAGAAGGTAGATTTTTTATTAGTACAAGAGACTAAATTAGAGAAGATTGATAGATATATGTGCAGTAGGATTTAGGGGTCGGTGGATTTTGATTGGAGTTATAAACCATCTAATGGTATGTCAGGGGGCTTGCTTTGTGTGTGGAACTCAAAGGTGTTTAAGAAACAGGAGATTTTGGAGGGTAATAATTTTATTGGAGTATACGGGGTCTGGGGGGAGGAGGAGATGCCAGCTTATATTGTAAACATATATTCCCCATGTACTTTAGCTGGCAAAAGAGTTCTTTGGGAAGAGTTGCAGTGTTTGATCTGTAACAGGAGGGGAAGATGGTGCTGGGGAGGGGATTTTAATGCCATTAGATCAGCAGGGGAACGGCATGGGAATAGGGAAATAACTAGAGAAATGAGGGAATTCAACTGTTTTATTCATGAAGCTGAATTGTTAGATTTACCGTTGGTTGGAAGGAAATTTACTTGGTATAATTCAAATGGGTTGCAAATGAGTAGAATTGACAGATTCTTGCTTTCAAATGAATGGATACTGAAATGGAAAGATGTGAAACAGTTGGGCCTAAGAAGAACAGTGTCAGATCATTGTCCTATTTTACTGAAGAATGAGAAGGTGGATTGGGGGCCGAAACCGTTCAAATTTTTTAATGTTTGGATGGATCAACCAGGATGCATAGAAACTATTAGAAATTCATGGAAATCTTGTGAAGTGAAAGGCAGGTATGGATTCAAGTTGAAGGAAAGGCTGAAATCCACCAAAAATGCTCTCAAGTTGTGGAGTGGAAGCTCAATGACAGCAATTGACAAGAAAATTTTGGAGGCTGAAGCAGAGATTGAAGAGTTGGATAAGAAGGGAGAAAATGGACTATTGACCCACACAGACATAGAAAGAAGGAGAGGGTGCTTTTTAGATCTATGGAACAACTTAAAAATCAATGAGAGTATGTGGCAACAGAAATCTAGGAAAATGTGGCTCAAAGAAGGGGATGCAAACACCAAGTACTTTCATAGAAGTGTAAATGGAAGAAGAAGAAGAAATGAAATTTGTAGTATTTTGGTTAATGGAAAGCAACTCACTGGAGTGGCAGAAATAAAGGAAGGGGTGGCAGAATACTTCCAGAACCTATTCACAGAAGAGGTATGGCAGCGACCCAAACTTGATGGAATAGGGTTTAAACAGATATCCCAAGTAGATAATGAGCTCCTCATAGCTCCTTTCTCTGAAGAGGAAATTAGGAAAGTCATTTGGGAGTGTGACTCCTCTAAAGCCCCAGGCCCGGACGGCTTCAATTTTAGATTTATGAAATCCATGTGGGATGACATTAAAACCGAGGTGATCGGATTTGTAAAGGAATTCCAAGAACAGGGCAGATTAGCAAGAGGGTCTAATGCCTCCTTCATTGTGTTGATCCCTAAAACCGAGAATCCTCAACGAATTGAAGAATATAGACCCATATCCCTCATTGGTGTCATGTATAAGGTGATTGCAAAATTATTGGCAAGCCGCCTCTGCAAAGTGCTTCATAAGATCATCAGGGAACAACAGATGGCATTTATCAAGGGAAGACAATTGGTAGATGGAGTAGTCATTGCAAACGAAGTAATTGATGAAGCGAAGAGGAGAAGGAAGAAAAGCTTTGTGTTCAAAGTGGATTTCGAGAAAGCATAGGACAAGGTGTGCTGGAACTTTATTGATTATATGCTAGACCGAATGGCCTTTAGTGCTACTTGGAGGAGGTGGATCCAAGAATGCTTGAAATCGAGCATGGTTTCAATTCTAATCAATGGGAGTCCAACACGTCAATTTCCGGTCACAAAAGGCATCCGACAAGGCGACCCTTTATCCCCCTTTTTATTCCTAATTGTGGCAGAGGGTCTAAATGGATTGATGACAGCAGCTGTTGACAAAGAGCTGTATAAGGGTGTGGAGGTCGGAAAGGATGCAGTATCAGTCACTCACTTGCAATTTGTGGATGACACCATTTTCTTTGGGGAGGCCACAGAGCAAAATGTATGGACGATTAAGTGTATTTTGAGGACATTCGAAATGGCGGCAGGACTGAAAATAAACTTCGGAAAATGTCAGCTAATGGGCATAGGGGTGGACGACGATTGGAGAAACAAAATGGCCTATAGACTAGGCTGTAAAGAAGGAGAATTCCCGATCAAATACCTGGGGATTCCCATTGGGGGGAACCATAGAAGGCTTAAGATGTGGCAGCCATTGCTTGATTCGGTTATGAAGAAATTGTCGAGTTGGAAAGGGCGGTATCTCTCCCAAGGTGGTAGAATTACACTTATCAACTCAGTGTTGTCCAGTCTCCCCGTGTTCTTGATGTCCGTCTACTTGATCCCAAAAGGTACGCTTAATTCAATTGATAAAATTCGTAGGAATTTTTTATGGGGGGGAGAGGGAGTGGAGAGGAAAATTAATTGGGTTAAGTGGGATATGATTTGCAAAGATAAGGAGTACGGGGGGCTAGGTGTGAAAGATTTAAAGAAGTTTAATCTAGCGCTAATGGGGAAATGGTGGGGCCGGTTAGCATCAGAAGAAGAGGGACTATGGAAAAGAGTCATTAGAGGAAAATATGGCGGGGGAGGGGGGCATTGGCAGAATTGGGTGAGAAATGGAATTGAGGGGGGATCTCAATGGTGGAGAGACGTCCAGAGGATTAACAACCCTGAGAGGGACAATGCAGGGTGGTTAGCAGAGGGGTTTAGATTAAAGATGGGGGAGGGTAAAGAGGTGAGCTTCTGGTGGGATGAGTGGTGTGGGGGGCGCTGTCTTGCTAATTCATTTCCTAGATTATATTTGTTATCAACAGATAAGGAGAAAAAATGCTGCCAAATGGGGAGAGAGCTTAATGGAACATGGGAATGGAATTTAAAGTGGAGAAGAAGACTGATGGAATGGGAAGAGGAGTCGGCCTTGGAGCTATCAAACTTGATCGAGGAAGTGAAAATACAACCAGGACTTGCAGACAAATGGGAGTGGGTACACAAGAGGGACGACAAATACTCATCTTCATCAGCTTATTCATTGCTGCCAAATGCCCATCATAATCCAAATGGAAAATGCTTTAAAAGAATCTGGAATCATATTATTCCTAGCAAAATTGCAGCATTTAACTGGAGAGTTGTGCTTGATAAAATACCAACCAAAAAGAACTTGTTGAAAAGAGGAATTGACAGTGTGAGGGATGATGTGAAGTGCAGGCTCTACGAGGAGGAAGATGAAGACTCAGCCCACCTGTTTCTGAGATGCAAAGTAGCGAAATGTATTTGGAAGGAGTGTGCTAAATGGTAAGGGATTTCTTTAAGGATGGAGACGGACTGCTGGAAAACTTTCGACCACCTTGAGGCATGGACCAAGGATAATCGGCTCAAAAATGGATGGGATTGCATCTGGAGTGCAGTGATCTGGTCAATTTGGCTACTGCGGAATAGAAAGATATTTCAAGGCCAGGAAACAAACATGGGTAAGCTGCTGGAAGTAATTCAATTAAGATCTTTTTTTTGGATTAAATCAAGTAGGGCTAGTTGTCACTTTTATCTTTCAGATTGGTTGTGTAATCCTATTGCTTGTCTTACGGATGGTTAAGAGTAAGCCTGGGAGAAGAATAGTTTGAAAGATAGGAGTAACAAATGTAGCCTATTTCTTCTCAGTTCTTGTGTAAGCAATTAGGTGGAGTACTACTTGTACATCCACACTAATCTTAATAGATGACCTTTGCTGTGCCAAAAAAAAAAAAATGATATATTATAAGAAGGTAATCCTTGTAAATCCCATAGTTAGGCTGGTGACTTATTTAGATCATATTGCTGTTATACGTACCGAAAATAAATTCTCGATCTCTGATGGCAACAGTTTTTGTTTACCTACGGAGAAGGCACAGAATTTTTGGGCGATCAAATTACTAGTTCGAAAGACTCATTACCTTAAAAAGAACCCGCATCCCAATCATGAACGGCTTAATTTGTTGCAATTGATTCGATTCCTTCAACAGTGGCTGACAATTAATGCGAGAGATTCGTTATACTATTTTCATTAGAAAATTCAGTCAAAATTGAATCCTCTTGCATGTTTGGCCACATTATTCCTCTCCTGCAATTGGCACAAATTGTACTCACTCCCACCATGCACGGCTTGTTTTATGTGCAAATTATCTGTTCAAGATAAAAATTATTTTTTAAAAATGCACTAAGTACTTTAAAATTGCCTTTAAATATGTTCAAACTAACTTAATAGCACCTTAACTTCTCAATTACTCGTCCCTTGAAAAAGAACACCGATCATCCCATTCATTATGATTTTTGTTTTGATAGGTCATTCATTATGCTTCTTGATTAGTTACAATATTTGATTTCCCTCAATGGTGTGGCTGACAATGCGGAGGATTTGTTTTAACTTTCAAGAGACAATATTTGTGCACCAAAAAAAGCATAATGTGCCTTTGTACTGCCAAGAATAAAATATTTTGGCAGTTAGAAACAGGACAACTTATGTGAAATGAAATATTTGACAAAAGTCCGATATTACCATATTTGGTTAATTAGACTAATTAATTCTTGCCAAAATTAGAGTAGATCCAATCATCAAAACCAAAATTTTCAAGTTAATTTTTTTTTTTTTTGGTTTCCCGCTCGGTATCTAGGGCTTTGCCCCAACTAATCCGGACCCAACTCGCGTCGCGCACCTGAAAATAGTGGGTGAGTCTCCCAGCGAGAGCTGCTGCGTGCACAAGGTCTCGAACTCGAGACCTTGCTTAAGCTGGTACAAACCGCTTACCACTTGATCCAACCCCTCGTTGGTAATTTTCAAGTTAATGCATTCATAGCAATGTTTTCATTGCCATTTCTATAGGTAGGAGAAATCAATTAAAAACTTGGCAAGGGGTTACGGTTCATTTGTAAAGCTATATTTCAATGTTGGCAATTCAATTGTTAATTAAGGATATTGTTAACAAGTCTTATAATATATCCCCATCTTAGTTGAATTCGTGGAAAAGTGCACTAATAACAAAGAAACTTTTAAATTCACAATGAAAGATGATACGTTACCTTTTTTTATTAATTTTTTAATGTTTGATAATAACAGATTATGACTTTAAGTCATAATTACATAAAATTTTCTATTTGAATAACCTAACACATTCGTGACTACAAATAAAAAATTATGCACTAAGTTTAGTTGCTTTAATTATAATTAAACATCCCATGGCTATTCAACATTCTTACTAAGCAAGTGTTTATACCATCTACCCGAAATAATACGTATAGCTAGTATAATAACTATTGTTACCCACTAAATTTAAAATCTTTAAAAAAAATTTCTTACACAAGTTTTTTTTTTTTTTTTGTTATAAGGACAACTTTTTTATATCATCTTTTAATATAATTTTCACGTATTATTAAATGAGTGGATGTATTCAATATCATGGATTCTATATGAATTAAAAGAATTAATCATTTAAATAACATATCAAATTTGTATTAAAATGTGTTAAAAAAATTGTTTTAAAATCATTTCTCTCTCTCTTTTTTAATTCTTTTATCAACAAATAAATAAGGAGTACTTTAATTCATTTTATGGAGGTCAATCCTTTAATTAAGAATATTACCTTAAAGAGTTTTTTTTTCTTTGGCCTTATTGACTTAAAAGTTTAAACATCTATATATAATTCATATATATATATATATAAACATGTAACCAATAAGGAATGTTATCCTATTCTTTAAAATTTATGGTTTTTCTTTTCAAACGAAAGAACCCCATTTCCATTTACAGCATACATGATTGGCGGCACAATGAACTTAAAGGCGAAAAAAAAAAATACATATCAAAATATGGATAAGACCCAAGTGAACCTTCACCAGATCCTACCTCCGCAATATATATTGCCACCGACTGTCCGACCATTAATTAATTTACTCTTTAGCGCACAATTAATAATAATTAATATTCTCTTAGCTGTAATCAGTAACCAAACCCGTAGAAGATCACCTTCCCTAGTTAGTTAGCATCCATCTTTTTCCCTCTTTATTGCTAGCTGGGGTAGTGAGATGCAGATAAATTTTTTGTATAATTTTTATAGAATTTTCATTTAAACTTATACTCTTAGGGCACTTTTTCGTAATAAATTTGTATAAAAAAATATAAAAATAAATATTCATTTTTGTATTAATATCATGTGAATAAATTTAATCAAACAATTAATAAATTAATTTTTTTTATTTTTTCGAGATTCTAGGAGCATAAGTTAGAACGGCCATTTAATTATAAACTTTTGGGTAATGATACATATCATTAAAATAAAAAAATACATATAATATTATGGATCCAAATAAATTAAAAAGAGTAAATCATTTCTTTTCTTTTTTTTTGGTTGTACAATGAGAATTAATCTTTTTTCATCTCTTAATTTATTTCATTTGCATATCATGTAACTTGAATGCAAAATATTTTTTTTTATTAAAAGATTATTATTGAATTATTTAAATTTTATTAGTGAAAAAAACAAACTATTAAATGACACATATAAAAAGTTGTATGAAAAATTTAAATAAAAAAGTTTTTGCCCAATCATTTTCTTAATTTATTGCTAGTATATGTCACAATTGTTTCGTGAGTATACCACGTGAAACAAGATTGATCTCCTGCCTCAGAATTCTGCTTTTTTAACGCCAAAATGACAGTATCAAACTAATAGCATATTTGGGTTGGGAGATGGAGAGAAAAAAATATATTTTTAACTAATTAAATTATAATATTTTTAAAATATTATAATTTGATTGGTTGAAAAATATTTTCCTCCCGTTTATTCTCCTCATCTCAAACATCCGGTGACTTTATAATGCATAGAAGGAATTTGAGGAATACTATATCATGTTGATGTTGTAGCTGATGGATTAAGATTTTTTATTAGATGCAAATTAATAGTGAGTGTTCTTTTGAACGAAAAAAAAAAAGAAATTATTTTTATTATAATTAACCCATTAGTCATTATATATAGAAAAAAATGAGACACATAATTAAATGAGTAGAGTACCATTTACAAATAAGTTTTGCACATCATATTTGTATTAAATTTTAATTATCTTTTTATTTTCAATTATTGAAATTTATTTACTTTTTATAACATTTATTAAAGATAATTATTTTTTATTTAAAAAGTTATGATAAATCTCAATTATTGAAAGTGAAAATATGAATGGTCAAGATTTTATATAAATATAATTATAAGATTTGTGTGTAAATAAATCCTTATTTTAATTAAATCATTCTGAGGATTAATTAGGAGTAGACTACAGATAAATATAATTATCTAGTGATCAAGATTTGGGTTAGTATGTACAATAATATTATTATTCCAGAAATACAGTAATGACAAATCTTTTTTTAACGGTTAATTAAGACAAAAGTGTTTCACATTTTGTTATTCAAACCGTAAAATAAAGATGGTCGGATAAAGAATGGCTACTAATATTAAAAGGATGCTGATTGGTGCACACCCGGTGTTGACCCGCGTGTGCACCCTCACATAGAAAAAAAAAAGGGACCGGGTGGGGTTGGGTTTTTTTTTTTTTTCAATGGGGGAGTGTGCACACCCGGGTGTTGACCCGGGTGTGCACATATCTTTATCCATATTAAAAACCTTCCTTTTCTTCTAATATAGTTTTTATTATACAATCAGATTCAGATTTCACAATAGTTTTCAAAAACAAAATTCTTTTGTCATTATCTCGGAACCATTTTAGTTGTCAGCATGAAAGGATACAGATCGATAACAGATAAGTGACTCGCCAGACTAGAGTATGTTTAGGTTTAGGATGACACCATAGATGCAACTATTTTTCAAAAGAGGTTAGATGGTATATTTTAAATTGATCATCTCAGCTCTCACGACTTATTTTATCCCAATAAAGGTAGGTCTTTTGAAAGAACATTTTTGACCTTTTTCAGTGAATCAAATCTATAGTAATACCAACATTTTGGGTACATACAGCTCTATGTTGCAGTTTAAACTTTGAAGTTCTTTCACTTCTCTTAGTTATTTATTTATTTATTTATTTTTCACTAGTATGGTGTGTATTAGTTTCTAACTCTAAATTTTTATTGGTGCCCTAGATGACATGGCATTCTTCAGTTATTTATGTCAATTTCTTGAAAGGGGTGTTTTAATTGGTTAAACACCCATGTTTTGAATTGAAATGGTTGAGGGAGTGCCACCGATACTCTAGAAAAATTAGGAGTCAAGATTAATATACTTTTTTTTTTAATTTTTATTTTGGTACAATAGAAAAAAATAATTTTTATTTTGTTCCATGTATTGAACCATGTGTTGCCTTCAAAATCTCTCTTTTCGGCAATGAGGCAAATAAGACTACAAAGTTGTGTCACTCATTTTGCTCAAAGTGAGAAAGAGGGATTCCCAGTGACTCTTACTACTTTCAAGCATAAAACTTGATTACGAGTTGATGGAAGAGCACCGGTTAAATAAATTATGAAATGCACCCTAATCAGACAATTGTCGTAGAAATAGAGATGCATTTCTGCATAAATGTCCATAAATAATTGTTTTGGAAGAACATCAGAGACTTCCCATGACTAGGGTCAAAATGTTAGTTTGCTGATAAAAATAAAGGAGAAAAATAAAAGAAAAGAGAAGAAAGAGAGTGCATGGCAAGAAAATTAAATTGCAGAGAGGAAGTGTGATGCCACTGCGAAAGGAAGAAAGCATAAAAAATGAAATAAAAGTTAAAGTATAAAACTAAACTTAAAAGAAGTTAGGAAGATGAATTTAGGGCAAAGTGTAATAAATTGAATTGCAGGAAACTAAATACCTTAGTGGAGATGTTCACAACAAAAAAACAAAAAATATAGCTAAAACTAATGACCATGTAGAGCTAAAGACTAAACTAGAAAAGCTATTTGAGAAAGTTAGATCTAAATTAAGACATTACTTATGAAACAAAAATGTAGATAACATTGGATTAGTTGTGTGAAAGGCAGGTCCTTTTTTGCTTGGTTTCTTATCCGCCTATTTATAGCAATAAACACCTTTTGGCAGCATGCTCGAGATCTAAGATAGCATCTTGAAAACTAACGGTAGCATGAAATCTACAACAAATTGATTAATATGTTGGTGCTATTGATTATGCTCATGAAAATTTGCAACAAATGAATGGCCTTGTTGATGTTGTGGAAACAATCACTAAACCTTATTCAGAGAGATTTACATCAATAACTTTTCAACAAACAAAACTCCTTCCAACATGGATGACACGAAGCACCAATCTATTTGTTGCAAAAATGGGTGTAAACACCATGAAACTCAGGATCTTTAAATTCTAAATGTTAGGAGTGTGTTTAGTTTGGTTAATTTTATCAATTTATAGCCTTTTTTTTTCTTAAAGAACAAGACAAAATGTTTAAGACTAACATTTCCACCAAACAGCTAATCCACATGGGTTCTTCGTTTCTTCTTTGACTAATGACCTGTTAGTCCAAGTGAAAGGAGTTTAGTTTTGTTTAAGTAAAATCTCGAGTTCGAATCTTGTGAATGGAAAAACAAGCGTTGGGAGAGCTTCCCCCCTAATAAGATTCAACGCGACTCGATTTCGGATTAGTTAAAACACAATGTGATTATTAGATACTGGAAGATTAATTTTTTTGGTTTTTTTTGAACAAGTTGTCAAAAGAAGGGCTCGAAGCCCGTCCATGGAGGAGGGAGAATGCACATCAAGTTGGTAGGCTGCTAGTTGGCCCGAATCGGGCCAGGTGTGATACCGAAAGATTAATTAATATAAAAAAAACATGGATTCTTCATTTATTGCCTTATGGGTTACCAATTGACAATTGTGACTCTTGTCCATTTCTAATTTAAAGTTTCATTGGGCCTATTGGGTCTTTTTTTTTTTTTTTTTATCTGGGCTCATCTTCCCATCGTCTTTCTTAATTTTTTTTAGTTTGGTCTTCTTACTTAACGAGTCTATATTTGCAACAATAAAGATATGGAAAGGAGGAAGAAATAAGCCCAGAAGAAAATCGATGGGGATAGAAACGAAAAAGAACCATGGGTCGCCGGCGTATGAAGAAGGGGTTTTCGATGCGAAAATGCTGTCTGCCGGAAAATGGGTACCCCAACCATCCTCCATTCCTTCTTATAATCTCTTCTTTAATTTCAATATTTATGCATTTCCTTCTTGTTGTTTACATCCAATTGCTTCTTCCTCTCTTTGAACATGCATTCCATCTTTTCTTTCTTTTTTTTTTTTTTTTGCTGATTTTTCTGTTATTGATAAACTGTGGAAGACATTAATGAAAAAACCCAATAGTTGTTTTTGTTTGTTTGTTTTTTTCTTTTCATTATTCCTAGGAGTGGTGGAGGTAGCTTTCTAGCAGCAGGCTCCTTTCTTTAGTAATTTTATATACTGTTATTATTATTAGGAATTTTCCAACCTGTGCCTGAGGGCACAGGCTAATAAATATTTATTAAGATACTTTACATTAAGAGTATCTTTATAGGTTGAGTTACTGTTTTAATTAAGATTTTTTCTTATAAGACTAAAATACCTTCTTCATTTATTTTCACTGCAGATTTTTTTTTTTTCTCTCTCTAGCCTTTCCGTCTCTATCTTTGATTCTCTTCTCCCTTCAGTTCCTCTAACCCAATTGTAAACAATTTGTTACGGTAAGATCTCAATCAATTTAGTTGCAAAAATTGAAGACAACCTTTTCCATTCCCCTAAAAAAACAATCTATGACAACCTTTCTCGTTCCCCTGAAAGAAAACTTGCATATTTTTTCATCCATCAATTTTCTCAACTATTTCTTATCACATTCTTCATTGTTTCTAACATCTCAAATTAGCTGGAGACATCACAAAAAAATGGTAAAGAAAAATAGAAAATACCTTTAATTTGACGGTAAAAAGGCGTTGGTTGCCAAACTGATGGATCCACCGAGTGCTAATACTTTTTCTCCAATTCTTACTTATGGTGAGTTGAATTCAAATCATCAACTCAATTAGCAACTTGACTGATTTTGAAAAGGCAACTTTGCATCTTGAATTCTCCAATCTTTCCTTGTTTTCTTTGCTAGCCCATCTTTAGCACTTAAACTCCAATATTTCCTTTACCACCTGTTATATTCTTGATGGGGCTTCTCTATTAATGCACCTTGTTCTTCAATTTTTGCAACTAAATTGATTGGGATCTCTTACTGTAACACATTGTTTTCACTTGGGCTACAATGGGAAGCAGGAGAGAAAAAATTAGGCTGAAGAGAGAAGAGAATCGAAGATGGAGACAGAAAGGCTGTAAAAAAAAGAGTCTCAACCTATAAAATTACCTTTATAATTAGCGTAAAATATATTAATAAATACTTACAAACTGAGGGCACAGGGCACAGGGCAAGAAAATTCTTATATTATTAATTATTTTGGTGGGCCATTACGTGCACTGCTGGTAGACTTTCGTGGGTCTTTTAACTGGTCTGGGTGACAATAATGAGATTTTCTTTCGTATTAGATTGCGTGTTAAAAGTGTAAACTTAGTTTTGTTTAGGGTATTGAAATTGTTAACATGTTATTAAGAAAATAACAAAAAAAAAAAAAGTTTTATTAAAAATTCATAGGTTTAGACTCTAGATTGTATTTTTATTAGGTAGTCCGAACAAAAGAAAAATACATTTTCGAAATAACAAACTCTCAATCTTTCCTTTTAAGCAACGTGAAGAATCACACTTCTATGATCTTCCCTCCTCACTGTAGGAAAACTTGTTTGATGTGGTGGCTCTTGGAATTAGTTCAAAGAATGCGAATTTTGACAGAGCTTCCAAATTTTCTCCCTGAGCAGTAAACGTCGATATTCCACGATAGATTGCCAACATACGGAGCAAAGAGCACTAGACATCACCAAACCGTCCACCGGCCACATTCTTTTGACATTTTACAACAGAAAAAACATGAGTTTTTTTAATCTATGGTTGAGACGGGGTAAGGTTGGAACTACAGGTCGTGCGGTCCAACACGTGATTGAGTTCCTTTCTAGTGCAGGACAGTTCATTCTATTTTCTCGATGTGAATTATCAATTTCAAAATGGTGGATTATACCGCTTATAATCATTGATGAGGGGCAGACTCTTTGATATTGAGTGGTCCCTCCAATACGTGGTGGATGAGGTGGATGTCTGTTTTCTTGATGTGATTCGTGTGATGGATATCACATCATTGCACTGAAACTTTAAATGCCTAGACTTTCTTGCTGCCCAAAATCTTTGTCTTTTTCAATAAATCCTTTATCAACGTTTGCTTGATGAATTTTGATTGAGATGAGCAACTGAATCGAAGCCCAAGGGGAAAGGCTTCTCATAGTTTATGCTCGATATCACCAAGATGCAGTTGCATGATATTTCAGTTAGTCTCTATTTCATTAGCTTCTTTCTGGTCTCTCAATCTGTTTTTAATACTGCAGGCATGTTATATAATGGTGAAATCGGTGGATCTACTGGTCCATCTCCTTCTTCAACGGTCCCGCCAAGCTCCAGTCCTTTGCCACCAAGCCCCTTTATAGGTGTTTGTTATGGAATGCTTGGGAGCAACTTACCAAACGCAACAGAAGTTGTAGCTTTCTACAAGCAGAATAACATCCAAAGAATGAGGCTCTATTATCCAGACTCATATGCTCTCCAGGCACTTAGAGGCTCCAACATTGAGGTCATGCTTGGTGTTCGCAACTATGAACTTCAACAGATTGCTGCCAATCAAACCTATGCAGATGAATGGATTCAGATATATGTCAAGGACTATGGTGATGTCAAGTTTCTCTATATTGTTGTTGGGAACTTAGTGAGTCCTTCAGATTCATACGCACAATTTTTAGTTCCTGCAATGGAGAAGATTCACAAATCAGTTTCAGCTGCTGGACTTGAGATCAAAGTATCCACAACAATCAACACAAGCGCCATTCAATCATTCTTCCCTCCATCAAATGGCTCTTTCAAATCAGAATACAAGTTGATGCTTGATCCTGTCATCCACTTCTTAGTGAACAGTTCAGCCCCATTACTTGTTAACTTGCATCCATATTTCAGTTACATTAACAACTCCAATGACATGAGTCTCGATTTTGCTCTCTTCACATCTCCATTGCCTGTGTTTCCAGATCGTCATTTACAATACAGCAATCTTTTTGATGCACTTTTGGATGCCATTTATGCAGCGCTTGAAAGGTCTGGTGGGGGTTCTTTGGATACTGTGATATCGGAGAGTGGTTGGCCCTCAGCTGGTGGAATGGCAGCAACCATTGAGTATGCAGGGACATACAAACTCAACCTGATACAACATGTGAAAGGGGGGACACCGAAGAAACCCGGAAGGCCTATTGAAACTTACATTTTTGCCATGTTTGATGAGAATAACAAAGAGCCGGAGCTTGAGAAACACTGGGGGCTTTTTTTACCAAACGAGCAGCCTAAACACCAGTCTCTTATGACACCAATATTCAAGCCAAGCTCTGCTGTTTTAGACCCAGCAGTCCCTGCATTGACTCCAAATGGAGCATCTCCTAAAGGAAGAAAAAACAGGACAGGATTATGGGTGGGGACAATTATTGGAGCATGTGTTATAATTTCTAGCATAGGTTTCACCTTGTTCATTTTTTGGAGAAAGGTGAAAGAGAGTGAATTAGTTGTTCTTGATGTATTTAGAAATGGCATGGGACCATGGGAGTTCTCTTATGATGAATTAGCTAAAGCAACAAAGAATTTTGCAGATGGAGAGAAGCTTGGTGAGGGAGGGTTTGGAGAGGTTTATAAAGGATTCTTGAGAGATTTAAATGCAGATGTTGCAGTTAAAAGGGTCTCAAGAAGGTCTAAACAAGGGATCAAGGAGTACACATCAGAAGTGAAGATTATTAGCCGACTGAGGCACAAAAATTTAGTGAAGCTCATAGGTTGGTGCCGTGAAAAGGAACTTTTACTTGTTTATGAGTTCATGCCTAATGGCAGCCTCGATTCCCATCTCTTCAAAGGAAGAAGCCAATTGCCATGGAAGCTTAGATACAAAATTGTGCAGGATTTGGCATCTGCTTTGTTGTATCTGCATGAAGAAGGAGACTTATGTGTGCTACATAGGGATATTAAAACAAGCAACATTATGTTAGATTCAGCTTTTAATGCTAAGCTTGGGGATTTTGGATTAGCAAGGCTAGTTGACCATGAAAAAGGGTCTCAAACAACTCTTATGGCTGGAACTATGGGCTATATGGCTCCTGAGTGTCACACCAAAGGCAAGGTGAGCAAGCAGTCAGATGTCTATAGCTTTGGAGTTGTGGCACTTGAAATTGCATGTGGTAGAAGGTCCATAGAACCTAGATATGAGGAGGATCAGGTGTCACTGGTGGCTTGGGCCTGGGATGCATATGAGAAACAAATGCTTCTTGATGTAACTGACAAAAATTTCGGTGCAGATTTTAATGAGAATGAGATGGAGTGTTTGACACTTGTTGGACTCTGGTGCACCCATCCTGTCCATAGTTTGAGACCGCCAATCAGGCTGGCGCTGCAGGTGCTTAGTTTTGAGGTACCACTGCCGAGTCTTCCAGCTAAGATGCCCCTTCCGACGTATGGTATTCCAAATACTTCTGAAGTCAGGACAAGTGAAACTTGTCTGTCAAATCTGAACGTTACTATTCCTCGTTAATGAAGGATGACACTGAACATAATTGTGTGTGTATGTAATACTCTGTCTAGTGTTTTCTTTTCCGTAGAAATTGTGGCTCATATATGGTATGATTTTTATTTCTTGTAAAATATATGCTAAATTGCTAATGATTCCATATGTCAAATATATAAGGATTGGTGTTTGCTTTGCTTCCTTTGTAATTTAAGTGCAGAAAGCTGACATGCTTATTTTTGTTTAAAAGGTTTAAGATTAAAGATTGGGTTTTCAGTCCAGATTGTTAAAAAAAAATTATAGTTCGGTTTATGAAATATTAAAGCACCCTTAGAGAAGATTCAATAAAAGATTTGTGAGTACTTTGACAGACTGGGACTGCACTTTCTTAGTTGGTCTTTTAATACATGAAGACCTAGATTTGATGATTTTGATGATGATGATGATGAAATTAGAGATATATGAAAGATGAGAATATTGAAAATGTTACTTTTATTTATTTATTTTGGTTTCAACAATTATTATTTTGATTTTATTTTAAATTATTAATTTGTAAGTTTAATTTTTATTTTTGGGTGCAAAAAATTGTAACGTTCCCGCTAACCACTTTTGGTAGAAATTTGTAACAGTGAAACTACTAAGAATATCATGCTATAAAAAAAAATTGCCAATTTTTGGATAATAATTTTTGACAATAAAATTTTACAATGTGACCTAGTATAAATTTTATTGGCACTTTCTTTTGAGTGGGATGAATAATTTAATCTGTATTACTTATTAGATATTATGAGAATAATGTAAATTTTGCAATGAATTTTCATTGTTAAAAAATTATAACTAGAAAAATAAAGAAAAAAAAAATCTAAAATTTAGATTTATTAATAAATAATTTTTATTTTATAAATTAATTTTAAATTTCGAGTCTTAAAGTTAGCACAAAATTGATGCAAAGGCATTGTCTTAAGATTACTTAGAGAATGATTAGCATTGGAATGCATTAAAATAGATATGCAAATATCTTGATTATAAATATGAAAACAATAAAATAAAATATTATTTTAAAGGTGAATTTGAACACTACCCAGTGCCATGCGTGCAATGAATAAGTAAATATATTTTTAAATAAAATTAAATAAATAAATACATAATGATTATGACCTTTTAAATAAAAATAATTATTTATAAAATAACACGTTATATATTATGCAAATCTAAAATGACTAGTGAAGTGCATCATTAATGGCGTTATATTGAACAACTTGTTGATGAGTTGGTTTGATATACTTAATGATATTACATAAGAGAGGATAAGATTCTTTTTTTTTTTTTTTAACTTTAATTTTACCTAATTTAATGTTTAAATTTAAAATTTTTAATTCAAAATTTCAAACTTAAACTCTTAATTAATTAAGTTAACATTGAGAAAATGAGTTATTTCTTTGTAATAGAAGAATGTTTACACTTTTTAAAGTCGATAAACAAAAATAGAAAATAATAAAGAAATTATTTTATTAAAGTCAACTCTTCTTGTAAAAGAAATAATGACAAAACTTAGAAGAGCACAAGCCTTTATAAGAGGTGGTAGAGCTCTCACGACCACTTGAGGTGAATCCAACTTAAGGAGAAAGGCTTTCACCTACTTAAAATCAACTTACTCCTCCCTCAAGATCTGCAAGGTTAAACTCTAGTTTTCAACTGAGTGAAAAAAATTTATTTACTTCAATTTGAGTCATGGCAAGCATAGATTAAAAAAAAGAAAAAAAGAAAAAATTATCATTTCTTGAATAATTAATTTAAGTTAAACTCTCAATTTGATCCTTAAACTATTATATGAACTCTTGATTTGATCATTGAATTAAAAAAATTCCTGATTTAGTCTTTAAACTAGTATATGGATTCTCAATTTGGTCCATACTGTTTACCAATTTACTTTATGTTGATCATTTTATATAAAAAATAATTGATGTGTCCGTTATTCAATGATAAAAAATAATAACTTAACGATAAAAAACAATAATTTAACACCTATGTGTTATATTAATAATAAGATACATTAGTTGGTTTTTGTATGAAATGACCAATTTGAAATAAATTGACAAATAGTAAAGACCAAATTGAGACTCCGTACAATAGTTTAAGGACCAAATCAAAAATTTTTTTAATTCAAAAACCAAATCAAGAATCCGTATAATAAAACGCTACTAATAATACCTCACTTCGTCATTTTAGATTTGTATAATAAATAATGCATCGTTTTATATTAATTTTTTTATTTAAAGGATGTGCAATGATAAATATATATTTATCTATTTAATATAACTTTATATTATATTATATAATATATTATACAATATATTATACTAAATCATTTCACATATAGCATTATTGAGTATCTAAATTCACTCTTATTATATATTTGATCCGAAAAGATGAAAAAAAAATCCTAAGGATAAATGAAAAGATGTTATTATTATTATTTTTTTCATTTCTCTGTCATCTTCTCTGTTACTCTCCAAAGCAGATGAGCAAAAATGTAGAGTAAAGATACCTCGAGCTTAAATTTTGGGTTAGTATAAATCACTTTTTATTGTGAAAATTATATACGTGAGTTTCAATATAAGATTTGTATCTAATTTAAAATTAATTAATTAATAAATAGAGTAACTTAACTTATATTTAATCCACTTTAGATCTTGATACCAATTGATTTATAAGGATGGAATCTGAGTTCTGATGTATACCATGTGAAAATTATGGATGTGAATTTCAATATAAGATTTATATTCAATCTAAAATCAATTAGTAATAGATAAAGTGGTCATTTTTATATTTAATTCATATACTTTTTCATTATAGACTGAACATGACATATTCCTTCTTAACACCTATGAACTGGCTAAATTTAATAGATAGTCTATTAATTATGTGGTTTATTTTATTTTAGTTTAAAAATAATTTTTTCTTTCAAAATAATTTATAAACTATCAATTTTGTTTCAAAATGATTTACCCGACAAACAATTCCTTAATTGACTAACAAAATTCTTTCTAGTGGTTGACAAGTTGCCCCCTAAGCTTTTGAAAAATGTTAAATATAGTACATATATTTTTATTTTTTACAACATTTTGTTTTTGAAGTTCAAATTTTTTGTCAAATGCAATAATTAACTAAAATGAAATTTCAATTTATATTAATTAAGATTCTAATTTTAATTTATAGTAATCAATATTTTAATTTAAATTTTATTATTTCTAAAAAATTTAATTTATTATTAAATATTACTATTTTTAATAAATGAATCTTTTTAAATTTTAATTTAATAAATAAATCTTTTTAAAATTTAATTTAATTAAATGAGCACCCGCATATAATTAAAATTATCTAAAAAAATAAAAATTCATTTCAATTTTATAAATCTCCAAATTAAAATCATGCATGTATTATTAGTGTTAAAAATAAAAATAAAATTTTTTATTTTT